AGAAGAACAAAAGGAGACATTACTTTCCAAATGCAGTTTCTCACAGGTTCCAGCGGGATTCCTCTGGTTACCCGCAATACACATCAGGAGGACTGAGGGAACTATCTAGACCTCCATGTTTCCTCTAAGGAAAGGCCAAGAGAGATGGCACTGGAGAAGAGAAGGTCCACAGCTGTTTCACCTGCAGCCACTTTACCTGCAGAAGCTGCCTGGTAGGCCAACGGGGCCTCACATTCCGCTTTAGGCAAGACTGCAGGAAGGAACGGAACACAGGTGGCGGATTTCTGGGAGTCTCCAGCTCGGGTGGCATGTCCTTAGGCTTGGGAGAAAGGAAACACAAGACAGCCATTAACCATCCCTCCCCGAGGGGAAAGAGCTCCAGCACAGGCCAGTCCTTGCTTTCTGAGAGTTGACCTGGTGCTTCTCGAGGAGCCCTGATCAACATTAGGACAAAACAAATATTGTTAAAACATTAGGAACTTGCAGCTCTGAATGACACCAAAGGCAGTGCATACCAAAGCTGGCACTTACTGATTTCATTCCTTCAGGCAATACTTCAACAGCCACAGGTTCCTTTTCCACTTCTTCCTCTTCATTTTCCTGTCCTGAGTCAGAGGGAGCCAGCAGAGGTTCTGGTGTCGCTGTTGTGTCCTGGGGACAGTCAGTAGAGTCAGGGACAGTCACCAGTCTGTCCTTTGCAAGGTTGGAGAGTTACACATAATAACAAAAGGGTCATTTGACACAAGGCTAATTTCTTGTTCATTTTTCATGGATTTTCTCAAATAGGCCCTGTGGAGGGGCAGATACATCCAGGGGACAGTTTCTCCTGTCTCCTAGGAATCCTGCACAGCAATCTAAAGACTAAACAGGAAGGGTCAAAACCCCTTTTCCAGTTGTCAGTGGCTGGGCTGAAGCACCATGTGATGGAAGGACTCCAGCCCTCACACTCTTCAGCCATGAAAAGCAAGCTTGCTCTCATCACAAATTCTAAATTACACCAAAGGCAATGCTAATGTAGTCTGGCACTTACTGATTTAATTTCTGCAGGCTCTGTGGCTCCAGCAACAGCCACGGGTTCATTGTCCACTTGCTCTTCTTCAATGTCTTGTCCGGAAATAGAGGGAGCCAGCAGAGGTTCTGGTGTCCCATTTGTGCCCTGGGGACAGTCAGTAGCGTCAGGGACAGTCACCATTCTGTCTCTTGCAAAGTTGGATAGTTACACACAATAACAAAAGGGTCATTTGACACAAGGCCACTTTCTTGTTCATTTTTCATGCATGGCAAGCACTGTCTGCTCAGGAACTTGCAGCTCTGAATGACACCAAAGGCAGTGCTAACCAAAGCTGGCACTTACTGATTTCATTCCTTCAGGCTTTGCTTTGATGTTTTCCTTCTCTGCTTGCTCTTCCTTACTCTCTTCTCCAGAAATAGAGGGAGCCAGCAGAGGTTCTGATGATGATGTGGTGACCCTCTCTTTAAGGAATCTCCTGGCTGCATCAAGCAGAGGACTCTTGTTGCTGAGACTGTTGGATTTTTCCAAAAATGGATGCTGCCCAAAGGAAAAAACAAAGAAAGAAAGGAGCCATTACTTTCCTGATGCCTCTGAGTTTAGCTGATGACAAAGCCCATCCCTGGACAGCTGTTTTACCTGCAGCCACGTTACTTGCAGAAGCTCCCTGGTAGGCCATCGGGGCCTCACATTCCCGTACAGGCACGACTGCAGGAAGGAACGCAACACAGAAGGCGGATTTCTGGGACTCTCCAGCTGGGGTGGCACGTCCTTAGGCTTGGGAGAAAGGAAACACAAGACAGCCATTAACATGCACTTGGTCCTACGGGCCTCAGTTCTACAGTGTGCATGTCCCAGG